GCGGAGCGCGCCCGGGAGCGCGCCGGGCCTGGCGCCGGGCGGGGGGCCGGGGGGGGGACTTGCAGACTCCTCCCCCCGCACCGGGTCCCCACCCGCTCCCAAGCCCCCGCTGCAGCCCGGGGCTGCTCCCCGGTAACCGGTCCCCGGGGCTGCGGCGGGCACCGGCTGCGGGGAGGGCGGGGGCGGCCCGCGGCACCGGAGGCGGAGGGGCCGGATCCGCCCGCACCCCGGCCCGGCAGCCGGGGGCAGCGGGGCTCCAGGAGCAGCAGGAGCCCCATCCCTGCCCCATCCCAACCGCTCCGGAGCATCCCGGCCTGGAGCGCTGCCAGCATGCAGGAGGGGTAGGGGGCTCTCCCCGCCGGGCCGGGGGGGTCGCGGATCGGGAGCGGGCGGTGCCACCCCCCCTACACACCCATGCGGCGCCGGCACCACCGCGTTCCCCGCCGCGGGCCGCTCTGTGGTGGGCAGCGGCGGCGCCGGTGCCATCCTGCTTCGTCATGATGCCGGTACCGCCGCCCGTGTCGGGAAAGGGCCGGAGGCGGCGGCGGGGGCGGGCGCAGACCCCCCCTCCCGGCTCCCGCCCCAATCCCCCCGCCCGCCGTTACGCGTGTCCGCGCCGCCGCCGCTCCGTTATCGGCTGCGCAGTCCGGGCGCTGGCACCGCCAGATACCCGCGCAGGGAGCGCGCGGCGCGAGCGCGGCGACGCGGCGGCCCGGGGGACATGGGAACCGGGTGAGTGACGGCCCCGAGCAGGGGGGTACCGCGGTGCGGGGGGCGCCCGCTGCTTTTCCCCTTGCCCTTCCGATGCCGCCGCCGCCGCTCGCTCCGCTTTGCTCTTTATATTCCCTGCGGCCTCACGGCCCCTCCAGCTATGCCCTGGAGGCCGCATCCCCCTCCTTGGCATCTGCATCCCTCCGCCGCCGCCCCTGTACCCACCTTCTGGTACCTGCACCCCCCACCTCAACCCCTGCGTCTCCTCCTCGTCGCCYACTGCTCCCTCCCGGCGGGCGCTGGGCATTTTCCAGCCGGAGCAGAGGTGCTCCCGCCACGGCCTCTCCCAAGGGAGCGGGATGGACCCCGCCGCTGTCCCCAGCCCCACCTGCCCAGCGAGTGCGTGCCGCCTCAGCGCCGTAGCTAGGGGAGCACTGGCCACGTCCCGCACCCGCGGGAGGAGTCTGGCAAGGCTGGAGCGTCCCCCAGAGCCCGGCGGGGAGGGGGCCGGGGCTCCATGTGGGGTATCCCACGTGTTGGGCATGGCTGGGGCCGTGGGCACTGCTCAGACAGGACTAAACCCGGCCTCTCCCGGGAAGACCCAGGGTGGCAGCTGCTACGGTGACACAGGTCCCCAGCCCACGGGTCACCAGCGTCACCAGCCAGCTGGGCGCAGGCTGCGCTGWCACCTGCGCAGACCCCCCTCCAGCCCCCTTGGGTCCCCGCGCGCACAGGATGAGCAGGCTAATCCCGCTTTAATCCCGGATTACCCGCCACGTGAGCCGCTGCAGGCTGCGGCATGGCCATCGGGGCTGCGTGGGTGCAGGTCCCCTGGCCTGCAAGGGCAAGTGGCGCCTCTTCCCCCTGCCAGTTGTCATCTGCTCTGGGGACTTGGGCAGTGGAATGCTCTGAGCGGGATGGGGCCCTGGGATCCCATGGATTTGGCCCAGGTCAGGCCAAGGTTCCCAAGCCGCTGGGAGGAGCAGAGAGATGGGAGCAGGTAGAGATGTYCCCATTACCTCCATGTGCTACTGGGAGAGGAGTGTGGATTGCTGTCCATCACACACCCCCAAATTCCTGAGAAAGGGAGTGGAGCATCCCTGGGCTTTGGGATCCAGCGAGCAACGGGATGTTTGCCTGCTCCCGGCTCCGTGCTGACCTGCTTTTCCCGCCCYGCTCGCCCCGTTGCACCCTCGGCGCCAAGAGATGGAAAATCCCAGCCGCTTCCCGCTGGCAGCTGGTGGCTTTTAACGCAGGCGAGCCCTCCCTCCCGTGCCGAGTTAAATGGCACGGAAGGAATGGGCTCCTCAATAGCCGAGGGATGAGCTCCCCTCCGCAACGAGGCTCCCGCGGGGCCAGAGGGGCCGGGAACCAGGACAAAGGAGGAACTGGATACCAGTGCGGAGCCAGCCGGGGATCCGCTACCCCTGCCTCCCTCTGGCTCTCCTGCTGGGATCAAGTTGCCGGTAGGATCCCACCTGCCCCAGTAGAGATGCTGGGGGACCTAGGCAGAGTGGGGCTGCCCAAGCCCATCACCCCTGCATCAGGCCTGCCCTCGTGGTGCTGCGCCGGGCACCGTGCCTCGGTTTCCCCACGGATGCAGCCAGCAAGGGGGTGTCCCCAGGGGCTGCGGTTGTTATTTATTTGGCRGCGTCGCTAGGAGGGCGGGCGGCAGGAGGAGCCAGGTCGGGAAGCGCCGTGTGTTTCCCCCAGGCTCTCCCTCTCCGCCTGCTCCAGGAACTTGTGACCCGGCCGGATCCCCTGCTCGTTCCTGCCGCGACGTTTTTTCCGTGGCAGCTGCGACGGAGGCCGGGCCGGGCGGCGGGCGAGCGTGGGAATGGCAGAGGGCAGCGCGCAGAGGAGGAGTGGGAGGCGAGGAAGGCTGCGGCTGCTGCTCTTCCTCTTCCCGGCCTCCTCTTCCCGGTAGCTTTCACTAYGCGGGCGCCACACGCAGAGCTCGCCCCGGCGCGCTCGGCCTGCCCTTATCTCCACGGGCAGAGAGTGCCCGCTGGGCGGTGGCTCCCTGCAGCCCGCAGATAAGGTGTCCCCGTGTCCCCCGGCCGCGCCGCGGTGTCCCCCGGCCTCCCACAGCCCCCGCGCGCCGGCAGCTTCCGCCGCTGCTCTCGCCTCCGTCTGCCGTGCGGATCACCCACGTGTCCCGTGCAGGTAGGGCCTGGCATTGCCAGCGCACGGGCACCTCCGAGCTCGGCTCCCGGCCGGGCTGGGGCGGCCACCATGGGGAGAATCCTGCCCAGCTCACAGGCGGGTCCCCTTCCCGGGCAGCGGGGGCAGCATCCAGGGGCTGGGCGCTGCTCCCGGCTCCGCTCCTGCTCCGCCGCTCCCCGGGGACTGTGTCTCCCCCGGCTCAGGATGCAGCAGCGTCACGGGGTGCGGGCACTTGGAGCCAGGCTTGGGAAACAGGGCTTTGCCGTGCTGGCCTCAGCCCCGAGAGGTGCAGCTGGAGGAAAATCAGGAACGTTCTCCTTTGTTGCTCGTTTTTGTTGGGGGCTTAGGGCCCAGCGAGGGCCCGGCCATGCCCGGGCGGGATGGGGCCACCGCTGGCCCGTTCCGCTCCCGCTGGAGCCTTCTCGAGGCCACCAGCTGCCGGAGACAAAAGGCATCATTAGCTCTGCCCCGCTGCGCAGAGCATGTCAGCAGCCGCTGCCGCCGCACGCACACGGGGCGCCCGGGGAGCCCTTCGGAGCGGCCGGCAGCCTCCGGGCACCGGGGTGAGGAGGCGGCGGCGAAGGAAGGCGGTGCCGGAGCCGCATCCGCGCTCCGCGTGCAGCCGACCCGCCGCTCGTCCCGGGCGCCGGCGAACGCTGCTCCGGGGTGACCGGCAAACCCCGCTTGGCAGCGCTGGCTCCGCGCGGGCAGCCGGGAGCRCGTGCCGGGCGCCTGGGCAGCGTCCAAGGGCACAGGGAGCCCGGAGCGGAGCGGGGAGCCCGGAGCGGTGTCCGCTCACCCATCCATCCCGTGTCCCCACAGCGGCAGCAGCCAGCGCCAGCCCGCCCCAGGGATGCGGAGCCACAGAGGCTGTGGTGAGTGGGGCCCCGGATCCCCCCCCAAACCCCTTCCTCAGCCCCCATCCCGTCCTGGAGCCCTCCGGATGCGTCCGGAGGCCGCGGTGCCCGCAGCGGGAACATCGGCTCGTGGGGCTGCGTGCGCCCCGTGGCACACGAGCACCGCGCGCCCGGGGGGCTCCCAGCCCGGCCCCTGCCTCGGGGGTGCCCGGGCCCCCAAATTGCCCCTTCTCGTCCCCTCCAGGACTCTGTGACTGACACAGCCCCTTGGGCGCGCGGCTCATGGAAAGGCTGCAGAAGGTGAGCAGCGGCTTGGGGGGACCTGAGAATACGGGACTGGGGACACACACAGGGGCCAGCGGCCACAGACCTTGCCAAGGGGGGTCCTGGGATGCTGCTGCCTCTCAGGGCGCTCTTCTCCCCTTGGTCTTCCTCCTCTCCTCATCCTCCCCTCCTCAYCCCTCTCCTCCCAGCCCAGCCTGGTGGCACCATCTAGTGGACACGTGTCCCGGCCGAGCCGCTCCAACCCCGCCTTGGAGCCACGCTCCAAAATTCCCTGTCCCCAGGGGCATCTCACACACAGCGTCCCAGCTCCCTGGGGTCTCCCCTGGCCTGCAGCCCCCCGGGCTTTGCCACGCTCTCCCTCTTGCCTCCAGCAACCGCTGACCTCCCCGGGGAGCGTCTGCTCCTCCCGCGGCTCCAGCGTGCCAGGGTCGCCCTCCAGCATCGTGGTGAGTGGCTCCTCCGCCCGCGGGATGCCCTCTCATCCCACCCCGTGGCTCCCCTCGAGCACCAAGCGTCCCTTCCGTGCCAGGCCAAGATGGACAACGAGGTGCTGGGCTACAAGGACCTGGCGGCCATCCCCAAGGACAAGGCCATCCTGGACATCGAGCGGCCCGACTTGATGATCTACGAGCCCCATTTCACCTACTCGCTCATGGAGCACGCGGAGCTGCCCCGGAGCCGGGAGGTGAGGGTGCCCCGGGCTGTCCCCCTGTCCCCGCGCGGCCGCGGCGGGACGTCCCGGCTCATTGCGCAGAGCCAAGAATCCCTTCTTTGCTTCCCACAGCGCTCCCTGTCCCCTAAATCCATCTCTCCTCCGCCATCCCCAGAGGTGAGTGCGGAGCCGGGGCCGGGGGAGCGGGTCGTGCATTTTGGGGCGCCCCCCTCGCTCCCGCCCGGCTCCTCGGCCCGCAGGTTATCCGGGAATGGCTGGAGAGCCGCTCGGCGGGCAGCGCCGCGCAGAGCGCCCCGCGGCCCGGCGGCCCCGCGGCCCGCGCCGCCGTGCAGCAC